TAAATGTTGCGCTTTAGAACACTGTTAGCTTTGGTACTCTGAAAACCTAGAAGTACTGATTCGTACAATTTTTGGCTTCAGGTTTCCCACGATTTAAGCTCTGAACTAAGCTGAATAATCGGCTACATCGTTTTTAGCCATTTTAGGAGGTAAGGCATTTTATTTTCTGCTTTTTTGACAGGGTAGATGAAGAGTTGTAAGGGACGGGAACATTTTAAATAGTTTTATAATTTGATGACTTTTTTTTAGGAGAAGTTAAACAGTCTGCTGCTTTAAAGTGTAGTCGGAGGGAAAAATAACGAGATTTATGGTGACATTTGACTTGTTTCTTTCCAGATTCGTACTAGCATCTGAACTGACAGCATCTTTTTTCTTGACAACAGAGTTTAACCGTCATCTTTGAAATTAAAAAAGTTCAAAGTCCTACTTTCTTCAACTTGACATTGTTATTTTCTCCTATCAACTCTGCAACGGGTCCTTAAGTGAAGCAGCATTCTGAATCGTTGTTATTTGCTACTACTTGCGCGTTTCTAGTTTTTACTCTGTATTCAGTTTTCCTTTTTTATCTCAGTTTTTGTCTTTTTGCACGACTGAAATTGTACTACTTAGAGGTAGAACTGCATTTTATTTCCTTAAAGATTAGTTGCTTGTTGCGTATTGACGGTAGCATTGGTCAGCAGTTTGTTTGATGCTAGAAAGGAAATTTGGTTTGGGGTATGGATTTTTCTACTCTTTACCTAGAAGAAAATTTTTACTTGTTTATCTCTTCTGCAGCTGTTTAACTGATTGATAAAGAAAAAGGAAGAGTTTTTTCTAATAAGCATACTGATATGAATGTTAACCACAGTTACCTGAAGTTTTGATATGTGTTGCATAAATGAGAAGGTAATTTTCGGTATTCAGCAATATCTATATTTTCAGCTGTTTAGTTGCTAGTTTTTTTCCTTTCTGTAAACCTTTCTTACGGCTTTTTGAATTGCGTTGTAAAACATCTTTACTCATTAAATACGTCTTTTTTTCTGCAGTGAGACGGAAAGGTCACAACTTTCAATTCCATTTTAAATTCATTCAAGTGGTGTCGAATATTTATAAATTTTTATGCTTCACGTCTCATTTTATTCAACACGCAAGCAACTGTTTAGTTTTAATATATGGTAGCTAATTTGATTTATCGTTTACTTTCTCTTTTTTCGTCGTTATACTTGAATACAAGACGCTATCTTTATTTCACTTTATAGAAGTAGTTGATTTTTTATTCGTCAAATGAGCTTTTACTGTACCGAATTTACTCTCGAATTACACTTTTATAGTATACTGTTTAAGAAGAAAAGTGAAAATTTTATTTCAAATTACATTCTTAGTCTAACGTTTTTTTGTACTTGTTCTTTACTTCGCTGTCTTCTTCATTTCCTCCTCCCCCGTGTTACTTGCCGATTCGCCATTAAACTGGTTGTAAGAAAATTTGCTCCGCGTTTTGGTAGCTGTCGTTACTATTGACTTAAGTTTCTCTTTTTTTTTTTGCACTGTACTTAGTGTTCTGAACTTTTTTCAACAGTCATATGTTCAAGATTTTCCTGATGAAAATGGATGATTTGTTTCATCACTGGTAGACAATGCGAGAAGCACTTTCGTTTATTGTCTGACATATGAGGAAGAAGGAAAGGGAAGATAGGTAAATTGGTCTTTTTTGTTTTTCTGGCTATGGGATATTTTTGATCTTGTCAGAATCACTGTCGTAACTGTGTCTTCAAAGAACACATACCGGTTTGGGGCTGAAAGGAAAGGAAAAATAGGCGAGAAAATTGCAATGTTGAATAAAAATAAGGTTTCTGAATTCAGCCATATCTTTTGTCTCATTTTTAAACCTTCTAACTTGCTAGTAAATTCGCTTTTACATTTATAGCTTGGAAATAGATGAGTGGATCTAGAATTCAGAGGCCAACGAGCTGCTAGTAGACACATTTTATACTGTTTGTTTTGTATGTGTCCGATTCAGAGATCTAGTGAGTGGTTTGTTCGAACAGTTTAGTTCGGATTCCAAAAAGCTCCAGTTTGTAGGTCTTGCTGTTGTTGCCATTGTTGTTGTTATTATTGTTATTAGCGCTGTTAAGTAACGGTGTAAAAAACCAGTTTTTTTAAACTACACAAAGTAATTGACTATTACGTTATACTTCTTTTTGTTTATGAAAAGCTATTGGTTGATTGCCATATTTAGCTCGATTTAGATAGAAATGTTGTTACAAACCTTCTTTATTTATTTGGCTAATTCAGTTGTTAATAATGGTAGTGTTGTATTATTATTGCTCTTTCTACTGTGATTCTTGTTGCTATTTTTGTAATCTTCATTCAGATGGGCTTGAAATTTCTTCTATCTGAAACTGCGCTTGTTGGGAGAGAGCAGTATTTCCTCAATGACAGTTGCATTGTTTTCTCCAGTTCGCTGTTGTTTTTCTTCTAAAAAATTTTTATGTGGCTTTCGTTGCTATGGATCTGATAGGTTCAAAAATCACTAGAAAATATAGTAGTAAAGTAGAAAATTAGTAGAAAAATTCAGATTCTAAGTGTCTTCAATTTAGAAGTGATTGACTGTTAGAGCAGTAAAAAAGGAGTGATTTTTCGTAGTCAAATCACTGCTATCAAGCATCCTTCTTTATTTTAATTTTGTGCGAAATATGCAAAATATTTTTACTGTTCTTGACTGCTGTTGTCAGGTGGTTGTCGGATTACTTCCAGATGTGATTATTCTAAGTAATATAAATCGAATGTGGTTAGTGATTATTCTTCTTTTTCTCTTCTATTTTTTCTTCTCTATTTTTTTTTATTTCATTCTTTTGCTCTACTTTACTCTGCTTTCTTTTTTCTTTCCTTGTTCTCATTTCCTTTTCTGTCTTTTTTCCTTCCCTTCTCAGCGGTGATTGGACGGTACTTATAGGAGAAACAAAAATTTTAGGACGGGTTGTTAGAAGGACACCTCATCAGTTTCGCTTCTATTAAAAGTGCTCTTTATGCAGCAAACTAAAGTAGCAGTTCTTTTCCTGAATTTTTCATTGGAAACTTTTTCATTTGCAAAATTTTGCAGATTAGGTTTAGGAATGAAAAAAAAAGTTTGTCATAGCGATAGGAGAAGCATTAGCTTAAAATAAAGTTTCTGCTCAAAATCTGCTGGTATCAAAAAAACCTAAAGCTTTTTTCCCTCTTCTAAGTGCTTGGCGGCGAGACTCGCTGAGGTGCAGTTTCACGAAAGTGTTTCAAAACGGACAAATCCTTCAGAGAACTTTTAGCGTTTTTATTCCTATCTTCTTGACCTCTTTTTGTCGTCTTCTAAATTGAGCTGGTGGATGTGGTTATGAACTTTGACCGATCATAGACGTTTTTGTTAATTCTTTTTTGTCTAGAATTGCTCAATTTTTTTTATTTTAGATGTTATCCTTGTTAAAATTGAGAGGCCTGTTGATCTGTTTGACCACTTATGGTTTCGAATCAGAGTGACAAAGGCTTTGTCCGCTGTTCCTCAAGTTTTTTCTTGCTCTGAAAAACCATTCAGACTTATAAACGTTTGGGAAATCAAGAACCTCCGGAAGTATAATTTTTACAAGGCGGTATGGTATACGCCTTTGTTATTTGAACAAAAAATTGTTTTCAATATTACGGTTGTCTTGAATTTATTTAAGTCGCTCTCAGGACTTTTTAATTCAACTGACATAATTTATTAATTACTATTGAATAAGAACTTGACCGACTTCAGTCTTTTTGCTTGTCCCTCTGGCTTTTAATTTAGGAGGGAGGAGGACTGTTGGTTGTTTTCAATAAGCACTGATTGCTCGGCTTTGACAGTCAGCTGTTTCATTTACTGCTGAGCTCTAGTTTAGAACGATATGATTAGAATTTGAAGTCATTTTTTGTTGTTATGCCTTTTTGGAAACCTCTAAATTATCACAAATTTACTCACTGTTTTGGCTATTTTTGTTAATTAACTTTATTTGGGTGGCAAAAATTCGAGTTTTATTGAGCAAGCATTTACTGGTAATGTATAAGCTATCATACTGGTTGTGAGACCTCGTCAGTTTTAGCATAAAGGTTTTAGCAGAATAGCTAAAATATGACATTTTGAGAAAGTTCAAAGCGTCGGTCGGTGTTGATGTGTTGCTGTTACACAAATGTCTGTGTTTTCCTTTTTGAGTATAATATGAAGTTTTGCTGTTGTTGGCAGTTTGAAAGGATATCCAGTGATTTTTGTCTGTTACCTCTCATCTTGGACCGTACAGTATTTTTAATTCATTGTCGTTTCTCTTTGGATTACTTTAAGTGCTCCTCTTTTTCAAGATCTCATGTGCCAATCTTTGCATATTTTTGTTCAGTGCTAGTGTGCGCGTATGTATGGATGTCCTCTCTTTGAGCGAAAATCAACACTGGGTTTTTCAAACTGTTAAGTCACTTGATGAATCAAGCTGATGGAATTGTGGAAGCATACTAGAAAAGTTGAAAACAGATTTTTGCAAAAGCATTTATGAAATTTGTATCAATAACTTTATTTGCTGGACCAGTCAAAAAAGGAAATAAATATTTTGATAAGATATCAGAAGCATAAGGGGTACAATTGTTCAGAGGTTGCTGGTAAAGCGAAGATAGACAGTTCAGCTAGGGACAAAAATAGTCACGATGTTCAAATTATTTTTAAATTATTTAGAAGTGGTAATTGACTGTTTAAAAAATTTTTTTCAATTACGGCGCGAACAACTTGATTTTATTTCATTTTTATTTTCTGGACTATTAATTAGAACGTATAGGTGAACAGTTTATGTTAAAAATTCTCTCTCTTACGTGCGTTCTTGTTTCTTGTTGTGTTCGCCTAATTCTTTGTCTAGTTTATTCTGCTTTTAGGTGTAAACTTCATTTTCTTTTTTTTTTTTTTTTTTTTTTTTTTTTTGTAAA